AATGCCCACCACCCCTCCAAGGATTTGGGATGAAGACCAAAATGTCAGAGGTACTGAGGCTTGACAGAATGCCTGCCCTGCACTATGGCCCAGAGAATGATCCAGGTGAGAGGGAATCTGGGAACCAACTGCAGGATGGGCCACTGTGAGAGTTGGTAGCTGGAACACAGAAGTGCTCTAGATCCAGCTCTGCCACTAACTTGGGAGACTTGCCAGCCCTCTGTTTTCCCTTCTGTAAAATGGGAGCTATGAAGAAAAATATGTCAAGAGTAAATGCCACCTACAAGTAAGGAAATGCTACTCCAAAGGCCATCTTCTCTGCAAGGTCCCTTCTCCTGGTGCTGATGGAGCCTGGCTCTCTCCTGTTACTAATCAAGAATGACTAATGTAGCTTGCTTTCCTCCCTCCACCTGACTCAGAGGGACCATGAGGTATGGTGCCTGCTCCTCCAAGCCCTAGGCCTGCCCAGTCAACTGAATTTGAAAGAGGGAGGGCTAGGTCACCTCCCCCAATGTGCTTTCAAATGAGGGTCCTTCTTGTCTGAGTCATAGCTCAGCTTCCCAAGGATGGCTAAGGGAGCAGGGGTATCTTGCAAACTCCTGGCTATAACACCCATTCCTCTCAGAACTTAAGGCTACATGCCCCCCAACCTCTACCACACACAGACCACAACAACAAAGAGCAGTGGCAAGCAGTTTCAGCTCCTGCACCCCACTCTAGGTCCCAGGGAGGCAAATCCCCACCATGCTCAGAGAGAAATAGGATTTTTTTCTACAAATCCTAACGGCAGCCTCCAGTCATGGGCAGAGATGACATACCCAAGCCTCAGAAAATGGTCAAGACCAGGGACTTGTGAGAGCAAGGCCCACAGTGCTCCTGTGCAGGTTCTAGCAGCCATGTCTATGAGGACTGGATGAAGGCACTGGAGGGGGAGGTCTATAAAGCCTCATGACACCTGGTTGCTGTCCTCCAATCGCCAAGGGACTGGCCAGAGTAGAGAAGAGGAAGGGGTCTTTGGTGCTGCAGAAGATAGCAGTAGGATTCTGAGTTCACAGCTCTAGGAAGTTTGCTAAGGGAGAAGTCCGCCTCTAGGGAAGCAGCCTCTGCTGTTAGGAGGAACACTAGCATTTTCTGGTCAAAGAGACATGGGAAATGTTGGGCTGAAGAACCTTTAACAGGTTTCCTACGAACACCATGCTGTGTTTCCCAAACTCATTTGACCCCAAAACCCTTCCCTCACTCATACAAAGCGTCACTTGACAGTAGGACCACATCTTCAGGCCACATTTGTTCATGGAGGAAAAGGGAAAGGAAATGGCTGTCCCAGGAACCAACCTGAATGGAGTAGGGCAGCCACAGCTCCCCTTGAGGGGGTGAAGGAACTACCCAGGAGGGGGTCTAAATAGACTCTCAGGGGCCCAAGAGCTAGTGCTCCACAAGAGGGGAGCTCTACTTTTCCTAAGGAATCCCATAACCCCCACACTGCTGTGAATTTAAATTCCAAACAAAACTTGGCAGGGAAGACCCTCATCCGGCCCAACCCCCACTCCCTCTAAGAGCTGCCTTCCTTGGGTATCTGCAGAGGGAGGAGGGCTCACTCAAGGGCCTCAGAAGTCTCTCTCCACAGACATATAGTTGAGCCAGAGGATCAGGATTTTGAATCTGGGATTCATCCCTAGCCTGAGATTGTGTGCAAAATTGTATACACATGAACATGTTTCTGGAGGAAGGCTAAAACCTTCAATGGCTTCTCAGAGGATCCGGGACCCAAATGTTGAGATCAGTGCCAAGGACCTTGGCAGGACATCTGGAGGAGGTGGGGGGAGGATCTGTGAAACACGACCAGTTTCTAGACCCAGAGGCCTTTTAAGACCACCTTCATCATCCCCTTGCCCCAGTGAGAGTCCCAGGTCACCGCCTAGTGCTTATTCCTGCACACAAATGTACCCCCTGACATCTCCCCTTTCTCTGCTCCCAGGGCCAGTGTTCTACTCAGAACTGTTGGTTTATCTTCAGCTTCCAGAGTGAGGTTCCAGGGGGACAATAGGCTTCTGTGCCCCCATGTCCTCACACTCCCCCCACCAAAATCCCAGCTGCATTCATGGTGTTTTGCTATTGTGGTGGGAGCAGCCTGGGGGTGGTGCATGAGGGGGTGGGCTCTTGGCACAGGGGTTGGTGCAGACAGGCCGCGGTCAGTGGTCAGCATGCAAGTCACATCCACAGGCACTGCCACCAGGCTTGCCAGGCCTCTCACAGAATGGCGACGTTCCTAGGCCCACTGGATCCCCTTGTAGAGTGCCCTCCAGCCCACACACAACCTGCTTCTTCTCCAACAAGCCCCTTGGCGGCACTGAGGTAGGGGGTATTTTTTCTTGCCTTCTCAGCCAGTTGCTATTTTGGGGCCATATTAGGTCACCATCTAAGCCCTGGACGCAGGAAAGGCCTGTCCCCAGGAGCACAGCTGGGGTTCCAAGAGGGTTTAGGAGGCAAACAGTTGAGGGCTGAGGATGAGTGAGTCTGAAGCTGAAAGAAGCTTCTGGAAGCCAGCAAGATCAGCTCTGCAGCCCCTCCAAGGAAGCCACTGACCTGTGAGCCTGAGAGAAGCCCCTTTAGCCTCCTATAATCCAGCCTGTCTACAGGCAGATCCTCTCCTGTTTACACAAGTTTCAAACCCATATGCATCGTTCTGGAGGACAGCAGAGACTAAATTGAGCATATGGTAAACTGAGGCCCAGAGAGAGACACGGAGTTCTCAAAGCCAGGTCATGAGAGATTTCTCCCATCACTGCTCTAGATAACCTTAACCAGCTCATTCTACTCTGGCCACAGAAAAGGAATGTGTCTCTTTATGGGTAACCTGAAGCAAGTAGCAATGATGTGACAGGAGGTAATTCTCACTGAGACTCAGTTGAGACTTTGGATGCCAGAAATTTCCAAGAAGAGGCACAACATCCTACTCCCACAGGAGCTTTTGATGGGCCCAAACTCCTAGGCCCTCTCAATGGAGACACACACACACAGGGAGGAAGGCCACCATAGGGTGGAGCAGAGGGAGGCCAGGAGGGACTGATTAGAGACTCTCACTTGACCCGTGGGTCATGGTCACTCTCCTCCCTGGATGAGGAGTCCCTTGGGGCTCCCATACCACCCTCATCAAATCACCCACCATTCACACTGTATCATCTTGTCTATTTCTCTGTGGCCCCCACCAGCCTATGACCCTGAATTCCCAGGAGCCCACAAACTTTTGGTAAGAGAATAAACAACCAAAAAGACCTGAGTCCCGAAGAAACACCCCACAAACGGTCCTCCAAAATTCCTGGTCGCTTGAAACCAGTTCCCTGATGAGGTGGCAAAGTATCTCATAATAAAGAAATACTCCCAGCCAAGAGCAAGTTTACAAAAAGCATTGGCTAGAAACACTTTCACCTTGTACTAAAGGGTTTTCCAAACTCATCTCCCTCTATTACACCCTCCTTCCCCCACTACACCCAGGTCAACCACTTTTTCCCTCAGCTGGACTAGTGCTCGCCCATCTCTGGGTCTCAGGCCAGTGTTGTATATGCACATGTCTCACCCAGACAAGGACCACCTATAGGGCACTCCCTAATCCCAAGCCTGGCACACAGTCCACCCACTGCCGTTGAGTTGGATCTGACTCATAGCGACCCCTCCTTGGGTTTCTGAAGCGATATCACTACAGACTTAGATTCCCCAATCTTCCTTCCGAGTGGTTAACAGCCAAATGCCTTAGGCACTACACCACCAGAGCTCCCTGGCACACAGTAGGAGCTCAGTAAATAATGAGAGTTGAACACAGGAGGCTAGAAAGGGCCACTCCCCTGCCTGCTCCTCCCACATCCATCACACCCTCAAGCACATCCAGGCCTTTTGCACCTAACTCAGTCAGAGCTGTAACTCCCCAAACTGACTCTGAAGGAAAATGACGTCCATGTGTTTGAACCCCATGTGCATCATCCTCACTTTGCAGAGAGCTGCCTAAAGGGAAGAGTGGAGTGAAGGGCACAAAGGGTGTCTGCAATTAATTCCCAAAGGAGGTAAGCAGGGGTAAGTGGGGTGGGGAGGAGGAGGGCTGAAGCTGAAAGGAGACAGGAGTGGTATCTGGGAAGGTTCTGGAGAAGATCTCTCAAAAGGGGTGGGAGGTCATGGCGATTTGTGTATTTGTCTGGCTGGGCAAGATGCACTGCCCTATCGACTTTGTAACTGAATCCACTGAACAGGCAGACTTTGCAACGCAGCCAGCCCAGGTTTCTGGAGAAGGCGCTGGGCAGCTGGAAGCTCTCCCCCTATCTCGCCCCCCTTCCAAGAGCTCAAGAGGATTTCCCTTTCATTTCCTTCCAGGCTGGGAGGGCGGGGGACAGCACAGTCTGCGGGGTCAAGCCCTCAAAAACCACTTCCTATGTGGCTGGGGGAGGGCAGTGGCTGGAGGATGTATCTGGGGGTCTCGTGTGAGAACAGCAGGAAAAGCTCTGTGGGCAAGTCACTGTTCTCCATGGGGCCCTTCGGGTCCAGCACCGCAGAGGTTGGAGGAAAAAACAGATTTTAGGCGCCTCCAGAGGAGCTCGGAGCAGAATCCGCACTCTCAGCCAGCGGCAGCCAGGAGCGGGGGATGGGGTTGGGCGTGGGAAGGACACTTGGAAGGGGCTCCCCGCCCTGGCTGTGCCCGGGTTGTCTGGAGAGAAGTTGGAGCCCCTCGCCCCGCTAGGTCCACTCCAGCCCCCTTTCGGCAGGGCGCCCGGGCTGGGAGAGCGGGCGGGAGGGCCCCGCCTGGGCTGCGCTGGGCTCAGGGCTCATCCGGGAGGTGACGTGCTCTCGGCGCCCCGGGGACTTCGGGCGGCGAGTTTGGCAGAGCTCAGCAAAGCCAAGCCAAGCCGGGCCGGGCAATGCAGAACCGGGCAGGGCCAAGCCAGGAAGAGCTGGCAGATCGGAAATGGCCTGGCGCGGTGGAATGGAGGGCGGGGGCGCGCGGAGGCACCCACCTCTCCGCGCTGCAGCTGGAAGAAGCTGTTGAGATAGCTGGAGTGCAGGGGCGAGCCCAGCTGCTCCGGGCGGCCCTTGCTGAAGGCCAGCTCCGGGGGCGCAGTGCCGGCGGGCGGCTCGGGCCGGAAGGCATCGAAGGCGCTCGCCTGGTGCGTGTCTTGCAGCGACAGGTAGACCCAGTTGAGCAGCTGGGCCGGCTGGTACACCGAGGCGGCGCTCGTGTCGATGGCCGACAGCAGGCTCATTTTGCAGCGGCGGCCCCTCCCCGGCCGCCCGCTCGGGCCCCCCCCACAGCGGAGGGGCGGGCACCGGGGAGCCTGCGCCCACTGCCCGCCGCCCGAGCACCGACGGAGATAGCCCCCGCGCCCTGCACCTTCCGCGCTGCCTGCAGCCGCTGTCGCCGCCGCCTCCCCCCTACTGCAGACCCGGCGCGCGCCGGCGGAGGAAGGAGACAGCGAAAGTTGAGCAGGAAACTTTTGGCCCCGCCCCTCTGCGCCTCCCGCCCCGCCCCGGGATCCGCTATCTGCCTCAGCGCTGACCCCCTCCGGGGTGGGGTCCACGGCGGTCCCGCCCCCACTCCGCCCCGTCTGGCCCAGTCCTCGCCCTCCACTGGTTATCTCATTAAATATGTAGTAGTAGGGCGGGGTCAGATGGGAAAACTGGCTCATCTGCATGTAGCATCGGGTGGGCGTGGCCGTGGGCGGCCCACCCCACCGCGACCCCTCCTAGCCACTCTCCGGCCGGGGCACTGTCCTCTAGAGCCAGCCGGGAGCTGTGTACAGCCTGGGCCAAGTTAGTCTGTACTTTCTCTGTTGTCTGCTCTTTTCTCTCTCTACTTTCCAAATCCCCTCCAGTTGTTTCATTTTTCACTCTCTCCTTTCTCCTTTCCTGTTTCCTCTCCTTTCCTATACTCTCTCTTCTCTCTTAGGGTAAAATCTGCCTGAGTCCTTCGTCTCTCTGTGGGTCGCGTCGTCTTTCTCTGTGGCTGTCTCTCTTCTTCTAGTCTTTTTCTATTTCTGTCTCATCTGATGGGTCTCTGTCTCTGCCCTCGCAGACAGGCGCGCGCGCACGCACACACACTTTTTCCTCCCTTCCTTTTTCCCTCCCTCCGCTCGCTATCACTGTAGGACCCTCCCCCTCCCACTTAATTCCTTCCATCTGCTGAATCGCTTTGCGGACCGGCTCGCCAAGGGGGGCCCCGGCTCCTGCCCCAGGAATGACTCCCCGCCCCCTTCCCTCACCTTCCCCCTCCTCTCTCTTCTCCTATTTCTGCTCTAGGCCCGCCTCGCTTCCCGCCCCAGGCCACCGCCCGGGTCCCCGACCCCAGCCCGCCCTCGCCCGGTGCCGGGTGCCTGGGCAAGTCGCCATTCGGCCAGAGGACGCGGGAAGGCGGCTGTCACCCACCCCTGAACGGCCCAGCTGGTCCCAGTCTGCTTAGGGGGAGCCCCTGCCCCCTGCCTTGGGCAGACACACCCTGAAGCCCCTCAGTCTCTCGGTAGTCCTCAGGGGTCGATGCTGCGTCAGCGTTAGGAACCCAGGGCTAGCGTAGTTGAGCGGTGCCCGCCTCGCGGAACTAACCTCCTGGCCAGGACCCTAGTCACCTTACCCTCCTCAAACCTGGCTCTGGGGCTGTTCCACTTGCCATTCAAGTGCCAGCTCGGCCACCTTCCAGCTGAGTGACCTCGGCGTAGCCCCTGACCTCTCCAAGCGAGCTTGTTTTCTCTCCTGTGAAATGGGAGCGGTCACCGTCCTACCTCCAGGGATGTTTGTGATTTGCCAGCTTGAGCTTGGTAATCAGCTCCTCGACCCCCACGAAGATTTCCCCCATTACCTGCTAGACGCAGAGCACAGACCGCACATCTCTGGATAATTGGACCAGAACAGCTTCAGTGCCATTTCCCACCAGGTCACCAACCAAGAATCCCTTTGAATTAATTCTGCCCAGATCGCCATGTTTTCAAACATTTTGTCTATCAAACAATTCACAATTATTCATACAAACAATTGTATCTTAATATTTTTATTCAACAAAGACACAGGTGTATATATATATATATGTAATAACCTTTTGCATTTTTGAAACAGGATTAAACCTGTTTGCTTAAAGAGAAGATACATGTTTGTGGGGAATGAATGTGAGAACTCTTTCACTCTTGAAAGTATTTGGGGTCATCTCCTGGAGTCTGCCTTTGAGGTTCTAAGGTGGGGGGAGGGTAGGATTTGGAACCATTGACTTAGATGTTCCCAGTTTACAGAAAAAAAAAAAAAAACACTGCTGTTCAGAGAGGGGGCATGTTGCAATTGCACAAGCAGGCAGTTGGGGAGCCCAGAGGAGACCCTGAGGCATTGCACCCCAGCCCCGGGCCAGGGCTCTCTATCTCTGTCTCCCACTTCACTTCTGGATGAGAGTTAAAAAAACAAAACTAAATACACTACCGTCAAATTGATGTTGATTCCACTCATAGCAACCCTCTAGTACAGAATAGAACTGCCCCATAGGATTTCCAAGACTGCACATCTTTACGAAAGCAGACTGCCTCATCTTGCGGGTGGGTTCGAACTGCTGACCTCTTGGTTAACAGTGTTTTAACCACTGCACTTTCAAGGGTCCTTGGATGACAGTTAAGCCCCCTTATTTTGAAATGCTGGCATTTTCCTGAGTACAGGCTGCAAATGTAAATTCTTTAGGGGTCAAACAGGTAACCACCAGGTATAAGGCACTAGTAGAACTAACGTGTTAGTCAAACAAAATATTTCTATCATGCTTCTCAGCCTGAAATCACCACTGTGACACCTGCTTAGAGGGATACCTTCTTTAGGGTTCCCATATGTTTTGATTACCTAAAAAACCAAAACCAAAGTCACTGCTGTCGAGTCAGATCCAACTCATAGCAACCTGTCCTTGGGCTTCTGAGGCAGTATCTCTACGGAAATAGATTGCCCGATCTTCCTTCTGAGGAGTGGCTGAAGGGTTTGAACAGCCGGCATTCTGGTTAGCAGTCAAATGCCTTAGGCACTACACCATCAGAGCTCCCTTTGTTTACCTAGTGCTTCTCTAACAGACATATACCACAAATGGAATGGCTCGACCAAACAGAGATTTATTCTCTTACAATTTTGGAGGCAAGAAGGCCGAGTTCAAAGTGCCAGGTTTAGGGGTTAGGTGAAAGCCCCTCCACCTTGGGCTTCAGCTCTGCCTCTGGCTCCTGGCCCACTGAAGCTAGAGGTTTTCTTCACTCAGGCAGCTGTTGGCTCCTGAGGCTGACAAGCCCAAGGTTGAAAAGTAAAAAGGCACAGTCCCGATATTACCAAACACAGCAGGCCACTAATTCAAGTCCAGAAAAAGTCCCAAGATCAGCAGGGCATGGCAAGCTACTGAACAACAACTTGGCTACATGCAAGGTTCAAGCATGCCAGAAAGCTAGAGACCTTCCTCAAAGCTGCTTCTTATACACTGGGTGCAGACCACATCCTTAAAGCAGCTACTCAGCTGCTCCAGTAGATTCTATCATGGAACTGATTGCCAGTCTCACCATGGGGAATAACTACATCCAGATGCCCTGCTACTCAAGCAGGCTCAACTAAGTCAACATACAACCTTAACTACCACACCATATCTTTCATCAGCATCAGTTACAAGTGACTTGATTCTGTGAGGGTGTTCTCATCATACATGGTGACTACACTGAGGGCTTTCTTCCTTCTCTCTTCTCCCTTTAGTTCCTACACAGGGCCTGGTACACATTAGATGTTCCAAAAATGTTTGCCAGGTAGATAATTGGATGTATGACCAGATTATGCTGCCCTTTAAGACTGGAATAAGGTCCTAGGGTAATACAAATGGCTTGCTCTTGATTACTAACCTAAAGGTTGGGGGTTTGAACCCACCAAGTGGCACTGTGAAGGAGAGACCTGGTAATCAGTCTATTTTCATAAAGATTACCACTCTGTAATCAATTTCTGGTTTGGTTTCATCAATGGCAACAGGTTTGGGCTTTTTGGTTTTTAATGCTTCTTTCATTTTGTGCTTTCTCCCTCCCCTTGCCCACTACTCACCTGCCCAACACACGGGCTGTATACCCTGTAGGTAATCAATATATATAAGCAACTTATTCAAGGCAGTTTGCTTGGATAGCTGCTAACTGACCTGAGTGCCTGCCAGCTCCTCAGCTAGCCCCAGAGGATGTGCACCCCAGGATTCCTGTGTGATGGGGTTAGTGGGAGTGAGTGACCAACAGGTATCCTGGGCCCATGTATCAGGTTCAAAAGACTAGGTCAGACCCAAACTCCATGCTCCTCGCTCACTATCATGTACATGGTAAGAAGCCCTGCATTTAAAATGTCAGAGGTCCTATCGCAAGCCCTCAATCTGCAGAGAAGGGATCAAGGCCCAGAGAAGAAAAAGAGCTTGCCCAGGGCCACCCAGTAAATCTGATGGTTAAGCCTCTGTTCCTAATCTGCTGCCACATCCTAGCTTTTCCTCTATGGGTCCCAGTATGGCATCTCTGACCCTTTACACTGTCCTTAGAACTGGAGTGGGAGGAAATTCCCAGGTGAGGCTCCAGCCCCTGCTCCCTTCCTTGTATGGTGTCTCCATCCACCTCATGGCCTCCAAAATGGGACAATGGAGAGACTAGGATTTGAAGGAAAAAAAAAAAACCCTGGCCAAGTGACCTTAGGCATGTCTCTGCCCTCTCTGTGAAGCTCAATTTTCTCAACTATCAAGTGGGAATGTTGATCCCATCCCTACCAGATTCTAGTGAATGACAGGGTTAAATGGGAACCTCAACCTGAAGATGATTTGCTAGCTGTGAGTAAGCAGTCAAGGGGGCAGGGAGACTAACAATGTCATTCAGTTTATCTGGAGTGTAGTGGTAGGAGCTCTGGTAGCATAGTGGCTAAGACACTTGCCTGCTAACCAGACGGCTGGCGGTTCAAACCCACCAATCACTCCTCGGAAGGAAGGTTGGGCAACCCTACTTCCGTAGTGATACTGCCTCGGAAACCCAAGGAGGGGTCGCTAGGAGTCGGGGCTGACTCGACGGCACATAACAACAAGTGGAAGGAGTGGGGAACAAGTAGGGATGTAGCCTACCCCTAAAGTTGCCCAGGTAGCAGTTCTGATACACATTTGGTGGAGCTTCAGGCTACGAGCTTTGAGCTCAGAGAAGCAGGAGAAGTTTGGAAATGAGGAGCAAGCAGGGGGCTCTTCATGTGGAAGTCAGCCTTCCGTTTGGGCCTGAAA